AAAAATAGCACTTGGTGTTAACTTGGACTGGTAATCCTTAAGTACATATCTCCCTTGCCTTGGCTGATCACTTTGCTATTTCACAGGTGTCTGTAATATCTATGCACGAATATGCAAAAAGGGATAAGAAAAGAAGGCTTTCTGTAAATAAGAGCCCCGCACTCTCTCTGTGTAAGAGGGATAGCTTTGAGCATTTCACTGATGCAAACCAGGACACATGTGGCTAAGCGACAATAGTTATGGCAAAAGTTATTACTGTTTTCTTAAAAATTGTATTTCCTTCTAGAGACTCCCCCAAACTGGGTGATCTCTTGCCAGTGTAGCTGATAAATCTACTATCTTCCCCCCATGCTTTACAGATTGTACCTTTTCAATTTAACTGAACTTTCTTCATGGGGGAGGAAAGAATTCTTTTTTAATGAACCCATGGGATATTAATTTCTAAAATGTTAGGAAAATGTTAGAGCCTTAGGTTCCCATGCTGCATTTCTCAATTTGGAAAGAAGTAATAATTGAAATAGGTGATCTACCAGCAATCTGAATATGAGATTTCCCAGGGCAAATAGATTGTGCAGTTGACAGAATATGTGAACATGAGAAGAGCAGGGCTGGACTGAGCAAAAATCAATCTAGTCCTGTATCACATACTCTCCAAAATTTCACCAATGAAAACTGGGACATGTGTGGCCAAGCAACACTAGAGTGTGGTTAGATGGCAAAAGATATTAATGAGGAAGAAGAAACAAGCCAAGAGAGGCTGCAGGAGTTTGCTTTTGCCTGATCCTACTGGGAAGGGCAGGATCCCACCCTTTCCTCCCTCCCTTCCTCCCTCCCCCTTGCTGGGTTCATTGAGTACAAGTTACATTTGCACTTGAACTCATCTTGTACTGGTTGAAGTAGGCAAAAGACAAAAGGGGAAAGCGGGAATAGAAAAGAGAAACAGGGACCTGAAATAGTGGAACGGCAGTGGATTAATTGGGACTTTCTCTGCCAAATTTGAACAGTTGGGAAGGGTATGGTATCCTGTTTCTCACAGTGGACAAACATGCTTTTGAGCAGGCCACAAGCAGGATATGAGAGCAATGCATGGCCTCGAGCAACCTTTATGGAGAAGCACACTGCTTCTGATACTAGAGATAAGTGATGGTGCTTCAGAAACATCTTCCTATGGAAAGACTAGGAGTGACACAATCCTGCTTCCAATTTCCTTCCAATCCTCCCCAGGAAAGAAAACCCTTTACAAACAGCCTGCTTCCCTTTGTGTGTAGATGTAGTATAAGGGCATCAAGCTGATTAATGTTTGCCAGTGTGATGCATCCTCCATGTTGGCAGATCATAACATCTCAAAGGATGCTTCTCATTAACATTACATCATAAATGAGGACATTGCATTTTAATGGCTAGAAAATGATGCTTTATTTACGTTTCCATATTTAGCTTGGCTTGGTGTTTTTGCTCTCTTGCCTCCAGTGAATTGAATCACTCTGCTGGCTGGTACATGTCTTGGCCAGTGGCATCAATAGGGAGGTGCAGGGGGTACAGGCAGCACCAGGTGACACCCTAAGGGAGGATGACACCACTGCTGCTCAAACACCTGTATTTGGGCAGAAACATTGTGGCATTTGCATGTATCTCTTTAAAATGCTTTAAGAGATAGTGGGAGTGATGTGAACCTCAGTGGGAGAAGAAAGGAGAGGCATAACTATTAACATTACATTCAGTGATATATGGGAATTATGATTTATGAGTATCATTAGTGGGGAAAAATACTAAGAATTGTCTATGATGTAACACCATGAGTTACTGCACCGGGTGACACCAACCCTAGGGACGCCTCTGGTCTTGGCCTGTGTCTTGTAACATTTAGGTGGTATTAGACGTTGCCCCACAATCAGCAGGCAGATTAGTAGCATAGAAGTACACAAAGCTTCCATCCTCTTGCTATGATTTCAGGCTCCTTTTTGAAGCAAATTCTTAAGAGACCAAAGTCTTATTTAGATGTGACTGACACAGTGACTTGCTCCATCTTTGCTTTCTTCATGTGGAAAGTGACAAGTCTGAAGAGGAGAAGTGTTCACATCAAGGCTCTCCATGCAACCCAGAAAATGGGAAAACCAGAGTTCTGGCTTACATGTTGATTCTGCACATGAACAGGAACCTCTTCAGACTTGTTGCTTTCCGTGTGAAGAAAGTAAAGATGGGGGACAAACCTTAACACGTTTGCTGTTCTCTCCAAGAAATGCACCCCACCTCCTTTTTTCTGTTAAAACTTTGCTCTAGACTTGAGACTTGACTTGAAAGTACAGTTGCTCCTCCCAATTCACGGGGGATCCGTTCCAGCCCCCGCCCCAATATTCGAGCCCCATACAAACTAATGGCGCACACACCCATGGTGTGTGTATGGGGCCACACACGGCCATTTAGCCATATAGCCCTTGTCCTTCCCCACGAAGAGCAAGACTGCAAAGTCTGCAAACAGGGAGAGACAACTGTATCTTGCAAAGACCTGAGACTCAACTTGAGACTTGACTTGACTTGAAAGTATCGTGCAAAGACTTGAGACTCAACTTGAGACTTGATGCTAGGGACTTGAGACTTGACTTGAGACTTGGACTGAAAGATTTGAATACATCACTGCTACAATTGCACAGTGTGAAAGGGCCTCAGGAAGGAACAACAGTGCTGCAGAATGTACCACTAGGTTGATTCTCTTTGACTCTTCTGGATCAGGCTTGTTTGTTAGGCCAGCATAGTTAGGAAGCTGGGATGCTGATGCTAATGCATTTTTAGCATGCTATAGACCAGGGGTAGGCAACCTTTCCCCTTTAAGGGCCGAGGGACTTCAGCTCCCAGAAGCCTCAGCCATGTTGGCCAATAGTCCCATGTTGGCCAATAGCTCCTGGTATTCTGGGAGCTGAAGTCCCTACCCCTGCTATAGACTGTTGTTGCCTTGCTTCACCTTCAGCTATCTCAGTTCCCACCTTGTCTTCTAGCTTGACAGGAGTTGTACCATGATAGGGAAAGATGCAGATGAGTGTGTCAGGAAGAAAAACCTATACTCCTCCTTTTCTAGGATCCTCACCATAAGCCACCTGTGAACACATCCCCTGGTTTTAAACACAACAATAAAACCATGGGTTTTCACAAAACATTCTTTAAGCTTCTGAGGCTTGAAGAAAAATCTATGTGCTAGTCCTCTAATACAATAGCTCAAGAGTTGGATGAGCGCATTAAATCTCTGATGCATCTTGTTTCTCAGCAATCACGACATACACATCTTTTGAAAAGGTCATATCTGGTCTTCCTCACCCTGGGACTGCTACTTATTAATACTGAAATGTTTGACTAATCCTCATATAGGAAAACTCCCTTGCTGAGTTTCCACTAAAGGCTCTTTGAATTCCCGCAGGGACCCTTCCCACCTTGGAGTTTAATCCCAGATTTTATGGTTGTTTTTCCCCCAAAGAAACTGTCTTTGTAGAAGCCCGGAAAGAGAAAACAAAAACAAAATTAATTTCCCTTCCCTCCCCTACACTTGTGTGGTGAGGTTTGCATCTATTCGTGGAATTGTTCTAATCCTGTTCTGTTTATAATGAATAAACATTTTTTTTTTAGCCTCATACTTTCAGTGCGCCACATGCGTATAATCTGATTTATCGTTAATGCTTTGCAAAGGGGTCTGTACAGCTGTAGAACATCTGCTCTATCAAAGCTATTCAATGGCGAGGATGCATTCTAGAATTTTTATCTTGATTTTCATTATCAAAACTCACTGAAGCCTTTTGAACCAAAAACATTTTTTAAAAATCTTGTGGTGTTTGTCTGAAATAGATTTTTTTTTTTTGCATTAAGGGAACTAATGATTAAGTTACTTTTCCTTTGTTCCAAAGTTTGCTCAGATTTAAAAAGAGAGAGCCATCTGAAAAGAAAAAAGAAAAACAGGATAAGGTTGGCCATTACTTAGAAAAATGATATTCACAGAGTGAGGAGTTATTCATATTTCACTAAATAAGCAGTTGATGTCTGCAGTATTATTCTGGGCTGAATTTGGGCTCCTTAGGCTATAATACTAGACTTCACTTACCTGGGAACAATTCTCAATTAACTCAGTGGTATTTATTGCATAGAAATCATAAGATTACATGGCTGATAAAATGGAGAAGTATTTGCTCCTTAGGATAAAAACAGAGGTCATGAGGAAAAGGGACTTTACTGTGGTTGCCTTTAGCATTCCTTTCCTCAGGGGACATATCCGATTAGTAGAAAATCTTTTTAGTATTACTAAGTCTGTAGGCTAACATTTTTTAAAAAGTGTACTACTAAAGGTTTTGTCTACTGTTTTTATAGATATAGTAGATTCATTTTGGGAGCCAGACTGGTATAGTGGTTTGAGCATTGGACTATGACTCTTGAATCCCGCTTGGCCATGTCAACCCACTGGGTGACCTTGGGCAAGTCACACTCTCTCAGCCTCAGAGGATGGCAATGACAACTGCCCCTGAAGAAACTTGTCTAGAAAAAAACCACATGATAAAACTGCCATAACTCAGAAATGAAGGTGCACAACAACAAAAACAAGGTTTAAATTGCTTGCTTAATATTTGTGTGTTTGTATTCTTTAGCTAATTGTTTTAATTCTAAGGACCTATTTTAGCAGACCTCTGGTAAGCCCAATGGCAAGATTTAAATGTACCAGCAAAGAAATCTTTCTTTTCTGTAGACACTAAGAAAACTAAACAATTCAAACATTGTTATTGTAATATATTTTTTTCTAGGTAAAATGGCTGCAGCAGCAAGAGGTTAAACGGCGAGTCAAAAGACGCGTTCGACGAAACCACAACCTACTTTCCTTCAATGACCCACTCTGGCCTGAAATGTGGTACATGGTAACTATACACTTGTGTGTGTACGAGTGTGTGCATGTGCGGACATGCATGGGCAGTGCACATATGCTATCACACTAGCTGGGAAAATATTTAGCGTCTTAACTCATGTGGTGGGCCAGCATGGTGTAGTGGTTTGAGCATTAGACTAGGACACTAGGAGACCAGGGTTTGAATCCCGGTTCAGCCACGGAAGCCACTAGGTGACCTTGGACAAGTCACACTCCTTTGCCAAGAGAACCTTATGATAGTTTTGCCTTAGGGTCACTATAAGTCGGAAACGAATTGAAGGCACCTCAAAACAGCAAACAACTCAGTTGGTGCTAGTCTGGCCTCATCTGGAGTACACGTTGGAGTGGGTTCCAAGCTTGTTCTCTACTGTCTAGAATTGCCCTCCTTTGCGGCTGAGAGAATGTGGCTTGCCCAAGGTCACCCAGCAGTATCTGAGCCCTGTTCTCCAGAGTTATAGTCCAGCATTAAAACCACTACAACAGGAACTCACTTTTTTAAAAAACGTACCATTTCTGAGCTTAAACTGGCTCATGGGGCAAAATGTGAGAAGAGTACCCACAGATACCATGGAGGGCATTGGGGAGGCAATAAAATGGCCCCAGACCCCACAAAAATTGACTGTCCTTTGCTCACTCATACTCTGAGGAATGGGCAGAAGAGGCCACTGCTTCCTTTTCTTTTTCTTTCCTCTGGAATATTTCAAGGACAATGCCTAAAGTAGTAAGTGACAACTCCAGTGATCATGCACAATTTGCTATTTGCAAAGCTTTTCTTGTTGCTGTTGTTTAATTAAAGAATGCAGCATAAGCCTGAATAACTAGCTTGGTCCTTTCTTGAGCTTCTTCAGGATGTTTTAGCAAGAAAGAACCAAAGCTACTGTAATAGCTCTAGCTCTCATATTGGCTGGGTTAATGCTGCATGGTGTGACATTTCATGATTGAAGGGAAAACAACTAGTCTGTTGCCATCTTTTCCTTCAGCACTGTGAAGACAATGACAGTGAGTGCAGGTCAGAAATGAACATCATGGCAGCATGGCAGCGAGGATATACCGGCAAAGGTGTCGTCGTAACCATTCTTGATGATGGGATAGAGAAGAATCACCCTGATCTTATCCAAAACTTTGTAAGTAAAGCATGAACATAGAGATTGTTTTAATATACAGGTATACCTGGACAGTGAAGAAAGAAGATAAGAGGAAAAACAATTCATTTGAGATGTGGTGCTGGAGAAGAGTACTCAGTGGACAGCCAAAAAGACAAACAGATGGGTCCTAGAGCAGATCAAGCCAGAAATCTCCCTGGAAGACAAGATGACCAAACTGAGCCTGTCGTACTTTGGACACATCATGAGAAGGCATGACTCATTGGAGAAAACATCAATACTAGGAAAAGTGGAGGGAAACAGAAAGAGAGGAAGACTGCATGCTAGATGGGTGGACTCTATTAGGGAGATCACAGGTATGAGTTTGCAGGACCTAAGCAGAGCAGTGGAGGACAGGGAGTCTTGGAGATGTCCCATCCACAGGGTTGCCATGGGTCGAAATCAACTCGAGGACAGTTAACAACAGATGGCTCAGTCAACAGGGGGGAAAAATTGTTCTTAGCTTGTATGATGTTTTTATCTTGTTAGCCGCCTCGATTGCGCTCAGAAGGGCGGGGTATCAAATAAATATTATTATTATTATTATTATTATTATTATTATTATTATTATGAAGTCAATGTATGCCTAGCCATTACTTCTTTAACAGAACATTTGGTACTTGAGGCAATAATGGCATAGAAAGAATAGGGGACCAGGTTCCTACATCACACAAAAAAAGAACACCAGCAGAGTGCAAAGGGATCTTGTAGCACCTTTTGAGACTAACTGAAAGAAAGAAGCTGATAGATTGAGCTTTTGTAGACTTGTCTACATCCTCAGATACATGGGGAGTTTATATGCACTATGCTGTAAGTATGTATGTTTTCATTCCAGTAAACCATTTGTAAGCAATCTAAAGAGTTAAGTCTCCTGTCTAGTTAGTAGTCATGTATGTTCAAAAGCCTGTGTAAAAAGATTTGTTCTCAGTGACCTTTTCTGCATGGGCCAAAATGCCTGTTTACCTGCCATACTGGAATCATCATGTTTGGATGAAATGTGACCTAAACCCTGGTTCTGATGTGGGCAGTCCGGACCATGTCCCACCTCTTCAGAACTGGCAGATAACATACACAGTGGAGTTTTAAAAAGCCCTACCTGTTGCTCTTCTGGGAACATCTGGAGATCTCTGTTTCCACAATCCAATGGCTGCCTGCACAGGTGTTTTTCTGGGATGCTAACATGTTTGCTGCCACTGCCGGTCACCCATTCTGAGGTCAGAAAGACGTGCCAAGCATTTTACTGTCACTAGGTACCTCATTCTGACCTCAGAAGTGAGTGATCTGTGATGGCAGAGAACATGCAGGGTAGCCCAGTGGGATGCCCATACAAACAGCCACCATGCTGTAGAATTGGAGACCAAGGTAACAGGGAGAATGGAATAACAGCAGGGCCAGGATACTCCAGGTTGCTCCTGAAATATCTTGGCCAGAGTTATGCCTTAACTGAGGTATGCTTGTACTACTAAGGTTATAAATCCTACATACAATTGTACATCTAAGATTATAAATCTTACACATGATTGTACATCTATAAATCCTATGCATGATTGTACAGCTAAGGTTATAAATCCTACACATGAGAGTTAACTCATTTAACCTTTGAGAGCAGGTGCCATCAAATAAATTCACAATGACAAAGAAGTTACATGGTTGGTTGTGCCAACCAAGAAATCTCAGACATGCAGAGTGAGGCAGAGGTGTCATGGTTTGTGTGTGTGTGTGTATGTATGGGGATGCTTTATGAGCCATAGACCAACATGAATGCAACCACAGTGCAAACGTTTCAAGATGGGCAGTGGGTTAAAGCTGACCATCCTAAATTCAGGGCATCACTGGGGGGGGGGTGCTGGGCATGTGGGCCACACGGTGAAACCCCTAAGGGGGGTGACACCACTGCTCCCCAGTCATTTGCCTTTTTGCAGAAATGGGCTGTGGAAGTCACCAGCATCCCTTTAAAATGCAGGCAAGGCTCAGTTGGAGGAGAAAGGAGAGGCCCCAGTTTTAATTTATTTTAATTAAAATAAATATTTAAAAACATCACATCTTTCCAAATTTTCACTTTAACTACATGGTACCATATACATGTTCATACATTTAGGCTAATATTGTAATTTAAAGGTATAATTTTAATTTTGCTATTTGTTTATGTTGCAACTACTGCCATTACATTTAGTAATATACGAGGATTACAATTATGGGTATTGATAGTAATGTTTGACACCACTTTAACTGCCATGGCTCAATACTATGGCAAACTGGGATTTGTAGAATCATAGAATCATAGAGTGGGAAGAGACCACAAGGGCTGTCCAGTCCAACCCCATCCGAGCTCTCTGACAGAGAAGGCTAAATATCTTACAAAACTACAAATCCCAGAATTCCATAGGATGGAGCTATGGCAATTAAGCCAGTATCATACTGACTTATTTCTGCAGTGCGGATGCAGCCCATGTCTTACTTGCCAGTTTCAAACTATGTTATAAAGCTCATTTCTGAAAGACAATTTTTCATCTGTCTTTCACCTCTGAACACTATTTTTTGTTTCTACTCATATGTTTTTAGATTTATAAATATGGAACAATCTCTTCTTTCTCTCTCTCTTTTTTAGGACCCTCTTGCAAGTTATGATGTCAATGGAAATGATCCAGATCCGACTCCCCGCTATGATGCCAGCAATGAAAACAAGTGTGTCTGATTTTCAATGCTAAATTAATGCTTGCCATGTGGAGAATTTTACTATTCCAATCCTGTTTTTACAGAGCTTGACTAGTGTGCATCTCCCACTGAGCCATCTTGTCAAAATAGGAAAGTTTAGGAAAGTTATTTTCTTTGGACATCACTTCCTAGAATCCCTGAGTCATGTTGGTGGCAGGATTTTGGGAGGAGTAGTCTCAAAAGTAACTTGTCTAACCTGTGCAAAATAGCTAGGTAGTTCAGTAACTAAAGGGCACGTCCAGCCTCTGGAAGGTAAATGATTAAGAAAAGTACTATTTCATGCTTTAAAAGAAAATTTAAATTGTCAAGAGCAAAAATGCAAGCAGGTTAATCTGCTTCTGTTTTGCATAAATTATATCAGTACTGCCTATTCCAACTTCTAAACAGGGACATCACAAAGGGGTACGGGGATGCGAATCACACCGTGACACCCTAAATGGAGTGACAACAGTGCTCCCCAAATATCTGCCTTTGGGGAGAAATGGGCTGTTAACCCACATCCCTTTAAAATGCTGCAGCCCAGCGACAGAGATGGTGTGAATGGGGCAAGGCTCAGTGGGAGTTCTAAATTTTTCTTTAAAATTTTCTTTAAAATAATTGCATCTTACCAAATTTTCACTTTAACCATGTGAAATTATGCAACTATATACTTGCCCCTCCCCATTCATGGACTTGATGTCCACAGTCTTGGTCTTTCGTAGACGGCAAGCGGGGAGGGATAAAATGGGATTCATGCCCAAGGCGCGCGTGCCATGCCACACATAAAAGCATGCGCCCATTATAACCAATGGGCCTTGAATATTTGCAATTTTCCCGATTCACGGGGGGTCCTGAATGGATCCTCTGTGAATTGTGAGGGACTGTAAATACATATAAGCTATGCATATGGTATTGTAAATACATTTAGGCTATGCATATGGTGTTGTAATTTAAAAGTATAATTTTAATTTTGCTAGTTGATTATGTCACAACTATTGCTATTATATGACCCAGTATGGTATAGTGGTTTGAGCATTGGACTATGACTCTGGAGAGCAGGGTTCAAATTCCACTGGGTGACCTTGGGCAAGTCACATTCTCTCACATTCAGAAGAGGGCAATGGCAAACCCCCTCTGAAGAAACTTGCCAAGAAAACCCCATGATAGGTTCGCCATAAGTTGGAAATGACTTGAAGACCCACAACAACAACAATTGCCATTACATTCAGTGATGTACGGGAATTGCAATTTATGGATAACACTAGTATAAAAACATTATTATAAGGATTCTATCTGGTGTAGTATGGGAGGAGGCCAATAGGTGTGTATGAGACACCATGAGT